CCTATAATACTCGATATTCTTGCTTCTGCAGCTCAGTAACTCCAGCGGCTTCCTGAGGCAATGATCTCAATCTCCTCTACTCTTCCCTCTCCAGCCTTTAGCTGTCAACAACCCCTTCTTATCAAGCCAGTTGTTCTCATTACACAGACACAGACATATGCACAGACACACACATAGAGAATAACCCTTTGGCCACAGGCATGAGGATGCAGGATCATAGAATTTAAAATTTAGAAAGGACCATTCTAGATTACTTTGTCTAACTCCATTACTGCACATGTGAGGGAAAGTGATGGTCAGGGAGATGAAATGTTGTAGGTTACACAGGCATTAAATAGTAGAGCTGGAATTCTGACCAGTGGTATGCTGGTTTAAAATGTTTAATAACTGGTTCTCAGAAATGTATGCATAACACACTTTTTTTTCTTTTTTCTTTTCCTTTCCTTTCCTTTCCTTTCCTTTCCTTTCCTTTCCTTTCCTTTCCTTTCCTTTCCTTTCCTTTCCTTTCCTTTCCTTTCCTTCCTTTCCTTTCCTTTCCTTTCCTTTCCTTTCCTTTCCTTTCCTTTCCTTTCCTTTCCTTCCTCCTTTCCTTTCCTTTCCTTCCTTCTTCCTTTCCTTTCCTTTCCTTTCCTTTCCTTTCCTTTCCTTTCCTTTCCTTTCCTTTTCCTTTCCTTTTCCTTTCCTTTTCCTTTCCTTTTCCTTTCCTTTTCCTTTCCTTTTCCTTTCCTTTTCCTTTCTTTTCCTTTCTTTTCTTTTCTTTTCTTTTCTTTTCTTTTCTTTTCTTTTCTTTTCTTTTCTTTTCTTTCTTTTCTTTCTTTTCTTTTCTTTCTTTTTCTTTCTTTCTTTCTGTTTTTTGAGGCAGCCAGGGCTAAGTGACTTGCCCAGGGTCACACAGCTAGGAAGTGTCTGAGGTCAGAGGAAGTTGGCTTCTCCTGACTTCAGGGCTGGCTCTCTATCCACTGTACTACCTAGTTGCCCCCATAACATACTTTAAAATTAAAACCATTGGCCTTTCTACTACAACACTATGGTCCCTGAAAAGGCAGCCCCTGAGGTTTTTCTTTCTTAAAAAAAGGAGTGTGTAATGGTTGGACCCATGCATTAGGAAGATTATCCTGGCAATTTGTGCAGAATGGATTGAAGGAGGTGAGAAGAGGAGGAAAGGGAGACAGGGAGATGAATTGCAAAATATTACTATAAAAGTTCTGGAAGGAGGTGAAGATGGCTTGGGGTTACAGATGGTAGCCGGGGTGGGAAGGAGGGGTTCGATCCCAGGGGTGTTGATATGGATGAACGGGCACAACTGAGTAATGAATGGGATAGAAAGAGAGAGAATGTGAGGGAGAAGTCAAGAATGACCTAAGGTTTGAAATTCCGGTGACCAGGAGAAGGGGGGTGATATCAGCAGATACCGAGAGGTCAGGAACAGGTAGTTGGTTTGGGCAACATTGATGAAGTCACTGACTACATTCATCTGTTGCCACATCGATAGAAGGATGGTGATGACAGCAGGTTTGTCCTTGGTTAACTGGGGCTTTTCTTATTCTTCCTTCTTGGGGAGGAGAAGAATGAAAAAGACCGTGAGTCAGGTAGGCAGGCCCCAGAGTTGCTGCTGAGACCTGCCTCGTATTGGGAACATCAGCTTGGGCTACCCCCTCCCTCCGTTATAGCATCTGCTCTATCCTCCTTCCTTCCCGATTCTTCTAGCAGGTTTGGGCACATTAATAATTACTGGAATGTCGCCCTGCCTGATGTATGCAAAGTTTGTATATAAATTGAGGAAGGGATGGAGTGGACCCCAAGGCAAAATTGTTATTCCCCTCTTCCTTCTTCCTCTTTAGCTCCCTGTTAGTAATAATGATGATGATGATAATGATAATAGCATTCATAAAGTATTTTAGAAATATCTCATTTATCCTCACAACAGTACTGGGAGATATGTGTTATTATTATCCCTATTTTATAGATCAGAAAATTGAGGTAGACAGAAGTTAAATGACTTGTTTGGGGGGGGGTCACACTGTTGGTAAATGTAGGAAGGTGGATTTGAACTTGAGTCCAGCACTGGGCTTGGAATCAGGAAGACTCTACCTCATGAGTTCAAATCTGGCCTCAGACACTTACTAGTTGTGTGACCCTGGGTAAGTCACTTAACCCTGCTTGCCTTAGTTTCCTCATCTGTCAAACGACCTGGAGAAGGAAATGGCAAACTACTCCAGTATTTTTGCCAAGAAAACTCCAAATGGGGTCATGAAGAGTCAGACACCACTGAAATGACTGAACAGCAACACTCAGCCTTCTAGTCACCATACCACCTCATTCTCCTTATCCTCAACTCCCTTCCAAGAGAGTCAAGAGTCACAGAGCTGGGCATTCTCCAGTTCCTGGGCTCTGGACAGGAGCTCTCCACCCTCTCCTGCAACAAGGTCAAAATTCGTTGGCTACAAATGCTATTTCCTCTAGACCACAGGTGCAGGGACCCCTGGCACAGTGTAGTAAGAAGACTAAGCTGGGACTTCTAGTCTTGCCTCTGCCAATGGCGTTATGATGCCTTGGGGGGCGGGTTAGGGATGGGGGTGAGGGTGGAGGTGGAAAGGACTGGGTTTGGAGCCAAAGCTTGTACGATTTGTGTGGGCTTGGACAAATCACTTTGTCTCTTTGGGCCTCAATTTCTCAATCTGTAAAATGAAAATTCTCTTTGGCCTATGATATTCTGCCTCCCTGCTATTTGTGTGACTATAGACACGTCACTTTACCACTCTAGGACTCAGTTTCTTCATCCTTTTTGTTGGAATCCTCATCCTTGCATATTCCAGCAGGTTGTTGTAAGGATTGAATGTATTGTTCACATGTTTTTTAGTTGTCTCCAACTCTTCATGACCCCTTTTGGAATTTTCTTGGCAAAGATACTGGAGTGGTTTGCTATTCTTTCTCCAGCTCATTTTACAGTTGGGGAAACTGAGGCCACTAGGGTTAGGTGACTTACCGAGGGTCACACAGAGGCCAGATTTGAACTCAGGAAGAGGAGTCTTCCTGACTTCAGGACTGGCACTCTATTCACTGTGCCACCTAGCAGGACACTATGCTATAAAAGTACTTTGAAGACTATAAAGAAAAGAACAAAAAAAATCTACTCCAAATACAAGCTGGGATTAATATGGACAGATGTCAATTTATCTGTTACTTGAATTCTTCAGAGACTTGCCTAGAGAACTGAGTTTCCAGAGCCTGCAGCTTGTAAAACAATAGTGCTTATAGACACACAGCACTGTTTTTACTTCTGTGTGCCTCATAGAAATGAAACCTTCACTAACGTCCAGCTCTAAATCTATGTTCCTATAGTCTTAAATAAAATTTATTTTATTTGAGGTGTAGACAAATGTGACATTTGCCATCTAGTTGTTTTAATTGTGTCCGGCTTTTTGTGACTCTGCTTGGGGATTTCTTGGCAAAGATACTGGAATGGTTTATTATTTCCTTCTCCAGCTCCTTTTACAAGTTAGGAAACTGAGGCAAATAGAATTAACTGACTTGCGTAAGGTCACATAGCTAATAACTGTCTGAGGCCAGATTTGAACTCAGGCCTTCCTGACTCCAGGCCTGGCGCTATATCCACTGTGCCACCTAGCTGCCCCACAAATGGTGGCGTCCTTCATCTGAATTCCAGTTCAGCCTACTATATGTAGTACATTGGGGTGTAAGGATAATAATTAATAATGATAATGATAATAGCTAGCATTTGTATAGTGCTTCAAGGCTTGCAGAGTGCTTTGCAAATATCCTGTCAGGTAAGGTAAGGACAATGGTACCGTTCCTGCTCTCAGTGAGTTTAAAATTTATTAGGAGTCGGGGGAGCAGATATGTATGTAAATAAATAGAATAAAAGCACAGGAGAGGTTAAGCTGAGAAGCTTGAGATCAGAGGAGTTATGGTTAGCAATGGTTGGGATGTAATGGGGAAGAGAAGGAAAATCAAGGAATGCTTCATGGAGGAGGAGGTTTTTGAACACGGTCTTTAAGGAAGGGAAGGCTGTTAACAGACAGAGGGACGGAGAGAGATCATTCAAGGGCTGGGGAACTGGGAGGAACAACCTTGGGGCAGAGGCAGGGGAATACACCCATAATGCCATGGAAAGCATGTTGGATGGAGTCAGAGGACCTGAGTGAAATCTTGGTTATGTTATTTGCTACAAATGACCTTGGATGAGTCACTTCACCTTTATGGGCCTCAGTTTCCTTATCTGTAAAATGAGGGGGTTGGCCTAAATGACCTCTAAGGTCTCTTTTGGCTTTAAATCTTGTGAGTCATACTAGGCACTTAATAAATGCTTATTGACTGACCCCATGATAGATAAGAGCCTGTGACTGGATGAGTCAGATTGGCTAGTTTTGTGTTTGTGAAGGGAGGGGGTTCAGGATCACTGAATGTTAGTGATGGAAGCAACTGTAGAGATCATCCTCTTATTTTACAGCTGAGGAAACTGAGGACTAGAGAAGGCAAATGACTTGTGTAAGGTCATATAACTGGTATGAGATAAGGTTGTTTTCAGACAGGTTCTGGGGAGTTGAAATGAGAAAAACAGGCAGGTACTGGAGGGGGCTTTTCCCCACTTCAGAGTCATTTAGGGACTCTCTGTTCTAGAACTTCCAGATGTACATGGAGCATAAGCCTGGGGGGTGTGAAGAAACAAGGAGAAGAGACTTTTCTCATTTCCAGTTCCTCTAATGTTGTGATTCTTAGCCCTTCTAATGGTTTCCTTGTTCTCCACCCTCTGGCCCCTTTGGGGAAAATCAGAAAGATGCAGAGTAATCATGAGGGCACAGTCTAGGTGGACTAGGCTGTTCTAGGGAGAAAGTCTGGGTGTGTCTCCCCTACCGCAAACAGCAGCAACCTGGGAAGCTGAGAATTGCAACAGGTTCCCCCTGTCATCTGGTGATGGATCAGTCCTGGACAGTATAAAAGGGACCTTCCTCCACCAGAGTTCCATATCGCTCCTTCTCTTCTGGGATTCCTCTGCAGGCTCTGTCTGGTAAGTCCCTCTTCCTCCCTTTAGGTGCTAGGTTCCATGCTCCAGCCTGTCCTGCTGTGACTATAGGTCTGACAAACAGAGAAGAAGAGATGAGGAAACCCAGCTCTGTCACTCACTTACTACCATTAGCTGCCCCTCACTTGGCACAAACCCAAGTGAGGAGATGCCCTAGACTAAAGCCCTAGGCTCTCTTTCTCTTGGATGTAAGTATGCAGGGTCCCTGGTTGGGAAGTGATTCTTAGTACCCTCATGCTCAGCCATCAGCCACTTTTCAGATCATATCCTACCTAGACCTAATGTCTACTTCGGTTTTATTTGTAGCTGAGGTCTGAGGACCTGGGAAAATAAGCAGAGAGCTCCTTTAGCCATCCAGGTGTTGAGGTGAATAGAGTGTGGGACTTAAGAGTGAAGAAAACCTGAGCTGGGATCTTGCCTCAGACACTTATCACCTGTGTGACCCTGGGCAAGTCACTTAATCGGCCTCAGTTTTATCTTCTGTAAAAGGTGGTAACCATGGCCCCTACCTGACAGAGTTGCTGCAGGTTTTAAATAAGTTAACAAATAGAATGTTTTGCAGACCTTACAGAGCTATGTAAAGCTTAGCTATTATTATTCTCATCTCATCCACATCACTATGTGCCAAAGAGGAAAGGACCTCAGGATCATCTAATTCAAATTAATTATTTTCTAGATAAGGAAACTGAGGCTCAGAAAAGTTAATTGACTTAGCCAAGGTCACACTCTTGGTGTTAGAGTTGATATTTGAACTCAGATCCTTTGATTCCAAATCTAGTGTTCTTTCCATCACAACTGCCCTAGTCAAACCACTTAAGAGATATTGTGTTCAATTCTGGGGTCTTCATTTCAGGAAGGGCATTGGTCAGCTGGTCAGCCCTAAGAGAGGAGTGAAAGCTCTCACTGAAGCCTTCAAAAGATCACTTGAAATGACTGGGGTAGGAGGGTGGTGTTTAGCCTGGAGGAGTAAAGATTTAGGGCAGGGATCTCATTGGGAAGAGTAATTAGACTTGTTTTATTTGGTTCCATAATGCATACCTAGAGTATCGTGAGGAAAGCACAGAGAGAGGTTTACTTAGGCTCATGTCAAGACAAACTTCTTAACAATTCGAATTATACAGAAATGGCATGGTTTGCTGCGGGAGGTAGTGGGTTTGCTCTCATTGGAGGTCTTTTAAATAAGGTCTGGGTGACCCGTTTTTTGAGTTATGTTGTAGAGGGAATTCTGGGTAGGGTCTGCTTTGGACTGGATGGTCCCTGAAGGCCCTTCCAGCTCTGAAATTCTATGTGTAGATGGAAGGCTGTGCTGGTGTGGATAATCCAATGTATGGGAGAATTGAAAGATAAACTAACACCCTTAGTCCTTCCATGAAAAAAATAAAAATCAGTCTAGTTTCTAATGGTTTTTGACCTGGAGGAGAATGATGAATTATTCCTCTTTTAGAGAAATTGTAATTTCAGTTTTTGGGCCATGCAGTGTTGCATATATGCATGCAGCATGCTAATTAGGTGTCAAATGGTGCAGGTCCCTAGACCTGAAGGGTCTCTTTACTTACATGCCTAGGTGGGTAAATGTGCTAACAACGGGATTCCTAGAACATTTTAAATGGCCATTATTGATAGTAGTAATGATAAAATATTGTAACTGCTTTGATTATGAGAGCTCACCTACCAAGGAGATTCCTGACTAGTTCTGGGACTTCGACCTCTTCCTGGTATCATGCCTGTGGGAAATCCTGAAAGGTCCAATCATTGAGGCTTAGTCAGAGTCCTGGTTCTCCCTGGGTGCTGGTCCTACCTGAAACTCCATACCTAAGATGCTTCCAGTCACTTGAAGCCTCCAGGGCCTTAGCCCTGACCCCTAGGGCAGGGATCATTCTTCACTAAATGTGGGTAGGAGGGCATAAGACCTGGCTCAGGGTCACAGATTATTGATTTGGAGCTAGAAGGGACTCCAGAGACCATTTTGTTCATTCCCTTCATTCTACATATGAGGTAACTGAGGCCCAGGGAGGTTAAGGACTTTGCCCAAGGTAACTCATGTAGTAAGGAGCAAAGCTCAGATTTGAACTCACGACTTTTGACTTCAAATCCAGGGCTCTTCCATTGGACCATCCTTGGTGGTAGGGAGGAGAGAAGAGGACAGGAAAGAGGCTGGAGGGGATTCCTGGTGTAAGTGCTAGGGGCTTCTTGCCCTGAATCCTGAGTTCACTATCCTCTGATTTCCAGGCTCTTCCCAGTTGCCCAATATCATAGATAATGATAACACTCTACAGGTTTGATCCCCAGAGTTATCCTACTCTGTGCTCTGCCCAAAAATCACTTTCTAGGCTTCTGGAAGGCAGTGTGACTATTTTGAAGAGCTCTCTCCCTTCAATTACTTCCGGACAATATTCAGCCCTTTATACCTTCTCCAACTCCCCCAAAACCCTCTTCTCCATAGCTCCTCATCCCATCCCCCATGAACCTTTCCTCAAGCTCCCACAACTCCTCTCTCTCCCTCGGATTCCCATCCAACAGCCTCTCTTCTACCTCTTATTGTTATCATTGTTCAGTCACATTCAGTTATTTGTGACTCCATTTGGGGTTTTCTTGGCAAAGACAGTGGTTTGTCATTTCCTTCTCTAGCTCATTTTATGGATGAAGAAACTGAGGCCAGCAGGGTTAAATGACTTGCTTGGGGTCGCACAGCTAATAAGTGTCTGAAGCCAGATTTGAATTCAGGAAGAGGAGTCTCTCTGACTCCAGGCACAGCATTCTATTCACTGAGCCACCTAGCTTCTCTCCTCTACCTCTCACAGCTCACTTGTTCTCACTCCTATCCCATAGATCCTTAGCTCCCTCACCTCTCCTATATCCTTCCACAATCTTCACCAGAGCCTCCATAGTCTTTCTTCCCAGAATTCTTTCACCTCAACCCTCTCCCTCCTTCTTACCTCATAAACCCACTGGGAGTTAGGTGGCTGAGGATGCAGAGGGCATATCTGGAATGAAGCTTTAGAGAAGTCATCGAACCTCTATCTTCTACCTGGGTCTTCTCATGTGTAAAATGAGAGGGTTTGACTAGATGAATAGGAATGTTGCTTCCACTATGCCCAAAGGGCTATAAAACTGTGCATACCCTTTGACCCAGCAATACCACTTCTAGGTCTGTATCCCAAAGAGATCATAAAAACAGGAAAAGGACCCACATGTACAAAAATATTTTTAGCGGCTCTTTTTGTGGCGGGAAAAAATTAGAAACTGAGGCGATGCCCATCAACTGGGGAATGGCTGAACAAGTTGTGGTATACGAATGTAATGCAATACTATTGGCTATAAGAAAAGATGAGCAGGCAGACTTCAGGAAAAACTTGGAAAGACTTATATGAACTGATGCTGAGTGAAATGAGCAGGACCTCAGGAGAGCATTGTACACAGTAACAGCCACACTGGGTGATGACTAACTTTAATAGATTTAGCTCTTCTCAACAATACAAGCATCTAAGACAACTCCAGAAGACTCATGATGGAAAATGCTATCCACATCCAGAGAAAGAACTTTGGAGTCTGAATGAAGATGGAAGCATACTATTTGCTCTTTTTTTTGTTGTTTTGTTTCTTCTTTCTTGTGGCTCCTCCCATCAGTTCTAATTCTTCTTTACGAATGACTAATGTGAAAATAAAAAAAAGTTTTATTGTTTTTCTATTAACAAAAATCTATTTTCTCTCATCTCCCCAATACCACTGTAAAATAAGAGAGAGAATCTTTGAAACAAACAAAAAAACATTGCTTCCAGCTCTAAATCTTATGAACTCTTAGTCCTTTCTCTTCTAGAAAATGAGCCCCATGGTCTCTTTTTCTTTTAGATTTTTTTCTGAACCGAAGATGGTTGCTACCAAGTTAGAAGAAGCCGTTAATGGAGTGATGAACACTTTCCACCAGTACAGCAGAAAGACAAAGGACTGGGATGAATTGAGTCTCCAGGAGCTGACCAATCTCTATAAGAATGAATATCCTATTTTTCTTTCAACCTGTGTAAGTGGGGGGCATTAATTAGGGAGACAAAGGTGGTTGAGTCTTCTCCAAGTCATATTCTCTTTTCATGTGGGAATTTGGAGCAAGGGCATTTTAAGTCCTGATTACATATCTATATCTATATCTATCTATCTATCTATCTATCTATCTATCTATCTATCTATCTATCTATATCTATATCTATATCTAGCCCTTGGAAACCCAGTTGGAGATAAGTACCCTCATTCCCTCTGGAGGTCAATGGTTAAGTCTGGGGAAAGGGGTTCTCAGAAGGGACCATACCCAAGTAGCTCTCAAAGAACCATGTCTGTCTCTAAATCTATATATCTTAAAAGGAAAAAATCACACCTGTCTATTAGTGCAGTGGATAGAGTGCTGGGCCTGGAGTCAGGAAGACTCATCTTTGTGAATTCAAGTCTGGCCTCAGACACTAGCTGTGTGACCGTGGGTAATCACTTACTCCTTTTTGCCTTGGTTTCCTCATCTGTAAAATGAACTGGAGAAGGAAGTGGCAAACCACTCCAGTTATCTTCACCAAGAAAATCCCAAATGGGGAGTCAGACATGACTGAAAACAACTGAACAAAATTATTTTCAGCTATACAACTCATCAAACCCCATAAAACATCATAAATAACTCAGATTTCTCTTTCAGTTTTCTTACAAAAATGCTATGAGGAAGACGGTCCAAATATTCTTGTGCACATTTTAGTGATAAGGAACCTGGGGTATAGAGAGAGGTTAACTGATTTGCCCAGATTCATACTAGACTGATGTCCAGTGTCCAGTCTAAAAGTGTCAGATGTTGACTCTGAGATTGGATTTCTGTCCTTTTCACCAGGACACCACCTGTGCAGATATTGTATGCCGCTACTAAATATTCCTTTAGGGGAACCCAGAAAAGCATCTAGCCCAACTACTAGGAGCAATTAGACACCTAATTAACAGGGATGATTTACCTATGCTGACCAGTCAAAGTCAAGTTCCTCTGATCCTCAAATTCCTCTTTTCAGAGACTTCAGTAGCAGGAAGGGCTTTGACCATTCTTAATCTTGACCTTGCTTAGATATCTGAGTGCTCCATGTGAAGAAAAAAAAGGCATGAAAAGTCCCATTTGCTCAAAATATTTCCTCCTGTTCTCCTGATATTGGAATCTGCTAATCATTCTTTTGAGTTCAGAATATCTGTCTGCTAAAAGTCCATGTTAAAATACATAAATTAGCACATGTAGCCTCAAACACTGATATGACCACAAACTGGTTTATAAGATTAATAAACAGAGAGTCTGGTTCTAAGGGAAGGGGCAAGAAGACACGTTGGTTTTGGAAGGTTTCTCAGTTTGCAGAAATGAGAAAAGGCTGGGGGCATGAGGTATGGAGAGGATGTAGTCCTCAGCTGAGCTTCACCTAGTTTGGCATCTTCTTTCTCTAGGGCTCGGACAATCCAGATGGTTTCATAAAAGAGCTTTTTGACAAGTATAAGGGTCAAAATGGACAAGTCAGCTTTAATAATTACGTGAAAATCTTGGGCAAGACAGCTAACATCTACCATAAGCAGAGCCATAATGATATGACCTGTGATGACAGAAGATGAACACCACTGGATCATGTTGATGAGATCCATGGATAGAAGGGATGAATCGGGCCCATCCTAGCACAGAGATGAACTTGAACCAATAAAACATCTCCTTTACCTTATATTATGGCTCCTGTATTTTTTCCCCTCCTTTTGACTTATGACTTTATTTTTACAGGACAGTCAACTTTCAATTCTTAGTCATCTTATTTGTAGACTAGATTTCAACTAAATGCTATCTCATTGATGTAAATTCTCCCTCCATGCCTAAAAATCCACAATTCATATGCCCTTTCTCTTCCTGGAATGATTCTTGCTCATCTCATCCCATGAGACCACAATGGAGCTGCTAGCCAACCTGATGAATGTGGAGCACAGTTGGGACATTGGCTCATAGGTGCTGTCCTATAGGCCAAAATCTAGTTAAAAGTTTTGAATGAACTCAGAGCTGTATGCCTGAATTAGACACTAGGAGGTGCTTTACTCAGGTTTCTTTCTACTACCTTTTAACATGCTGTAATGTCTCCTTTGGCCACTGGAGGGCACTCGATCTAGTTAGTACCTGAGGAGCTCCTCCCACAATGGTCTTCATTTTGAGTCTGACTCAGAAGCTGATTCACTCCTTGCGTCTGGGCCCTAATCTAGGGGATGAAATGAAATATTGAATTATTGAAAGCAGTGCATTTGTCTGGCTTCACCTTCACTCGTTGAAGTAGTTCAGTTTCTCAGATCTTTTCCCTTGGAACCCATAATGGGATGGAATTCAGAATGGAACACAACCAATTTATTTTACAGCATATAGAAGGAAAAGAAAAGGAGCAAAAATCTCCTTCACTTATGTGCAGATCATCATGAGTAATCAGCTTCACTCCACACTGTTCTTTACTCTTGAATCCCTTGTCTCTTTGTCCAATTACTGATCATGTTTTTCAAAGCCCAACCTTGGCTTATTCCTACCATGATGCTGAATGGAGCTGGAGGAAGCAGGCAATGGAGCTGACTGAATCTACTACAAATTTATGTTTCTAACCTCAAATAGGCCCGTACTAAGGGGAAGTCAATCCTTTTATTTCTCCCTGGTTGATTTTATATCACATTCCTTATGGAAGCTGTTCCAGATCTTCTCTTTTCTCCTCAAACATCCCATACCTTCCCCTCTCTCTACTTTTTCACCTCACACTTTATTTAGAAAATGGATATTATTTATTATAATCTTCATCTTCTCTTTTCATCTAAAAAACCCTTCTTTCCCCCCACTTACTTCTTTTCTTCTAATCCAGTCATAATGAGGTGGCCCTTCTTCTTGTCAATGTCAACCCCTCTACATGTGTCTTTGATCCCATCTCCTGCAATAATCTCCAGCAGATTGTGCCTCAAGCAACGTCTCTTTCATTCTAGGCATCAGTTTCTTCCTATCTGCTGGTTCCTTCTTTGTTGCTTACAAACAGGGCTAAATCTCCCCCATCCTTAAAACAAAACTCCCTTCGTTAGGCTCTCCCATGCTCTGAAGTTATTGTCCTGTAGCTCTATTTTCTTTTTTGGTGTAATATCCTAATACAGTAATTAGCTCATCTTAAACCTGGAGTGGGGGGTGGGGGGACCAATACATTGTGAGTATTTAATTAGTGTTTGTTGATTGATTGATTTCATTCCCCCTTCCCCTCTCTGAATCTTTTGCGTGGTTGGGGTATTTCACAACCAGTCACTCCCAAGGTTAGTAAAAAGGGAACAAATTGTGGTATCTTGCCTCATCTGTAGCTTATCAGTCTGGTCATGGATTGGATTTATTAGTGGTCTGTGGTCCTTGCAGAATTTGGGTAGAGATGATCTTCGGCTGCCTCAGTTAATTGTCGTTGCTCTGGCTACAGTCTCTCTGGACCCCCTGGAAGTCTGAATCAGGCCAAGATGGCATAAATGCAGATAGCATCCCTTTTATCCTCTGGTATGGCTCCTTGGCACTGTTAACAGGATTTTACTGAGCCAGTCTCTAACTTGAGAATGATGAAACAACAGGCCAGAGACAAAGTGCCAGTAATCAAGTAGTGCTTTAATTAATGGGTTTCATTATGAGGAAGAGAGGAACAACCCTCCTGATCAGAATTCCACCTAGCTGGAGTGAAGACAGACATCAATCACAATGGAAGAGAGGGGAGGAAGGTAGATTACAGACAATTGTTCCCAGGACCAGAATGATTTCCCACAACCAGCCCACAAATCCTACAGTACTACGGTATGGGTGTCCTGAAGTTCTGTGGGAACAGCATTATTCAAGTCTCTGGGGGTCATTACTTGGTGGCTCACAAGACCAGAGTTCTGTGACAGGAACAGGTTCTATCATCTTTGATTCGTGTTACTTTAGGTGCACAGGCACAAGGATGCCAGTGATTGTGAGTGCTGTTGAAGTCTGATTGATCATTTTAAGCTTCATTGTGAGCTCTGGGTCACAACCTGGAAAAGACAATTCTTAAAAATCTAATCTATTAGTATATTCATTACACATAAATCAATTCTTATGAAAACCATAATTCTACAGCACAGAGGGATCAGGATGATCCCAGAGGGGGCAATTCCATTCCAGTAACATGATCTCAAAATTGGCTATGGCAAACCCCTCTTCTTTCTACCTAGGCTGTTAGGATCCTTATAGAGACAACAGGAGACAAAACTCTCCTGGGGGTACATGAGCTCATAGATCTAGACCTTGAGGAAAGCTCAGAGCCTCTCCCCTCCCATTTTGCAGATAAGGAAACTGAAAACAGATGATCAAGTGATTTGTCCAAGGTCCCACAAGTAGTATCAGCAGCAAGATTTGAACTTAGGTCTCTTGATTTCAGGGCCTCTCTTTTGCTGTATCATACTTCCTTCTACTAGTTGAGCACTGAGTACTTAGTTTAAAGTTAATCAATCACTTTTCTCACAAGTCTATGAGGCAGGTAATATAAACATTGTTTTCATGTTCTTATTTCACAAATGAGGTCAGTATCTCATAGAGGTAGTCACTTGCTAGTAGGAGGCAGAACCATTGGACCTAGGCTCAAATTGCACCTCTAAAGTTAGTATCTATGTGACCTTGTGCAAGCTGCTGAACCTTACTGGGCCTCAGTTTCCTTGATTGCAAAATGAGACATTGGATGAGATGGCCTCATCGGTTCTTTCTGGCTCTGGCTCTACGGGACGATCTTCCTTTTATCTCTAGAGTTCCTGGTGGGTGCCATCTCCAGTCATCCTGATCTATATCTGGCCATTGGACCCAGATGACTCCGGAGGACAAAGTGAGGCTGGTGACTTTGCACAGCCCTCCCTCACTTAAGTCCAATTCACTTGCAAGTCATGGCATCACCTTCCTGATATCATGGTCCTCTTTGAGAATGAAGGACTACCACCACCACCACCACCAACAGGAATTCCTGGTAGTTGAAGAAAACTGTTGAAACATCACTGTCCCACGTCACAGATGAGATTCTTTCCTGATTTTCAGGTCACAGGTCCAGGGTGGGGAGGAATAGTCACTAGTGTGGACCTGAGCAGGATACTGAGCAAGGAAAGGGTTCCAGAAGCAAAGCATAGCTATGTGTGGTTCTGATCCCAGAAGCAAAGCAGGGGACTCAGTTCTAGCTTCTAGTTCAGCATGGAAACCTCTGGTAGAATAACCAGGATAGGAGTCCCAGATCAAAGGATAGCCTGCAGTTCAATGGCTCTGAACCTCCTGAATCGCTCAGATGGCTAAATAGTGGATGAGTCCAGCAGCTGTCTAGTGAAATTCCTAACCAGGGGAAAGCTGATGGACCCAAATGAGTCAGCGAGGTGGCACACCAGATAGAGTCCTGGACCTGGAGTCAGGAAGATCTGAGTTCAAATCTGGCCTCAGACACTGGCTGTGTGATCCTTGGCCAGTCACTTAGCCTCTGTTTACCTCAGTTTCCTCAACTGTAAAATAGGGCTAATAATAGCACCTATGTCACAGGGTTGTGTAAGGATCAAATGAGATCATATTTGTAAAAAGTGCTTAGCACAGTGCCTGAAACATAGTAGACTCTATGTAAATTCTATTTCCCTTCCCTTTCATCTCCCCTCCACCAAAACCTGCTAGGTCAGGAACTTACAAAGCTTAAACCAGGAGGGTTTAAGTGAGCAGACCTCACCCTAGATCTCACCACTTTGGGAGTAGTGAGAGTTTGCAAATCTATGAAGACAGCAGAAGGACAGAAGAGGACAGAAATTCAAGTCAGACATCCTCCCCAGAAGTGTGCAGAGCCCAGCACTCACATAAACCCAGAGTCAAGAAATAGTCTGGAAGAATGAGTGAACAAACAAAAAAAAAAGAACCTGACCATAACGAGCAGAGAACAGAGAAACTCAAGACACAAACACAGAAAAAAAAATGACTCCAAATCATCTATAAGCAAAGCTTGGACACAAATTCAACAAGAATTCACAGAAGAGTTAAAGCAAGAGCTTTTACAAAAAGGAGCTGAAAAAAATATTTTAAAAACCAGTTGAGAGTTGTAGGAGAAAAAGTGGGAGAAGAAGAAGAAAGAGTTAAAGAAGAAAAATATCAAAAGAGAATTAATAGCTTGGAAAAAGAGAGAAAATAATTCCTTGAACAGCAGAATCAGTCAAATGGAAGATAAATAAACAAAACAAACTATAATGTGTCCTTTTTGGTCTTATTAAACTTATGAAACTTAATGGGGAAATTAATAATAATAATAATAATGGTGATGATGATGATGATGATGATATTAGATAGTATTTATATAGTATTTTAAGTTAGCAAAGCACTTTACATATGTTAAGTCAATTCATCCTTACATCAACCCTGAGGAGCTGGTGCAATTATATCTCTATTCTGACAGATGAGGAAACTGAGGCACAGGGAGACAAGTCACAAAGGGACTTGTTAAGGTTAAGTGACTTGCCCACGGTCATACACAGCTAATAAGTGCCTGACACAGGATTCAAACTCAGGTTTTCCTGACTCTAAATCCTACATTCTAATCCACTGCAACAACTAGGGAGCTTAAAGCCAGGGTGAAGAGTAGCATATGAGCTAAATGTCTAATTGATTCACGAAATTATATGCAAATCAGTT